ACACACACACACACACACACACACACACACAAAATGGAATATTATTTAGCAATAAAATGAATGAAATCTTGCCATTTTGACAACATGGGTGGATCTAGTGGGTATTATGCTAAGTGAAATAAGTCAGACAGAGAAAGATAAAAACTGTATGTTCTCACTTATATGTGGAATTTAAACAAAACAAATGAATAAACAAAACAGAGACAGACCCACAGATATAGAGAACAATTTAATGGTTGCCAAATGGGAGGGGGTTGGGGGAATGGGAATAAAAAAAATGACACAAATAAAAAACCAAGTAATACCCCAGGAAAACCAGAATTATCTGTCAAAGAAATTAAAATCACAGCATACTTCTTGAATACTAATTGAATATGTGTTTAATTAGCTTGAATAATTGTTTTGTGTGTCTAGTATTGTAAATGCAGAATAATGATATAAACAAAAGCAGCACAGGAAAATGTGTAAAGTGATATAAAAGTGAAATCATATTCCTTAGTAGTAGTCAATAGACAAAATCTAAAGCTGAAGAAAACCTTAACATTAACAATATAAATCTGATGCTTAGAAAATAGATATAAAACCAGAAAAAATAATAAAAAATGCCAGAAAGAGTTGAAAGGAATTGGAAGTGACAGGGAATGGAATAGGGAATAGTTGATTTTAAAGTATGTACCAGATACTCATATTTATTAACAAAAAATAGCTTTTTAAAAAGATTAGGTTCATTTAGCTCATCTCTGTGGAGGCTAAACTCTGAGAAAGAATTATTTAAGACTCAAGGAACCCTTGAGGCTTAATTTGGCCAGTTTAGTGAAAGAATGTAACTCTCCATGTCCTCAGAGTTCTGGACAGTGGGCAGAGCACAGAGAAATTTCTCCCAGCTGCACCATCTCCCCACTGTTCTGCAGTTTGTTTCTTTGCTCACTCCAGAGCCACCAGCCAGAACGAAAATGTCAGCCAACTGTCCTGGGCATTGTCTAAGCAGACTTCATCACTGCCAGACACATCACCTTTGCCTTTTCCTTCTCTCTCCCTTTCTTTGGGAGCTTCCAAGGTAATTTTGGGAGGGAGCTCCCAACAACTCCCAACAGAATTCCAAGTTGGAGGACTATTTTCATAGATTCAAACTCTTAATACACCAGGGGCTACATGAAAGGCCCAGGGTTTTCATTTCTCCTCCCTTCTCTGAGTTTCTTCCAGAGGGGTGGGATGGTGTCACTGGCTCTAAAGTCAAGCTTATAGCTTGGCCTCGTATTTGCTGTGTGACTTTGAACAAATTATTGAACCTCTCTGAGCTTTGGCTTGTAAAAAGGACAGCATGATGATGTATAAGGTTGTTGTGAGGACTTAAAAAGAATAATGCATATAAGGTGTGTAGCATAGCTCCTGGCAGACTAAGTGCTTGGTAAACAGACCTATCGACCACCTTTCCATACACTTGGAATCATTTCCCAGCCACCCCAGAGCCTCCAGGATAATGCGGGGAGCTCCTATTGGAGCCAGGATACTCGCCACCTATACCTGGAACTCCATGTTCTCCACTAGCATTCACCTCCATCCCCAGCCAGTCTCTTCTTTCCATGGGATCAGCTTTCATCTTGGCTTCTAGCCAAGGGGATCATAATCTCTCTTGCCTTTGTCTGGTACCTCAAAACCCCTACCAACTGATGGTTTGGGGACATAATGGGATTGGGGCTCCTGGCTCCAAAGAGGGCATCCAGGGAGAAGTCAGATGCTGCTGCTTGGATTGGGGAGGGGGAAGGGGCGGATTGGGCACTGTCAGGCCAGTGAGATTTTTTCAGGGGCATGAATGGGTGGACCTAGTACATGCACCCCGCCCTCCTTACAGAAACTAAGGAAGAGAACCAGACCAGCTCTGAGCTTGCTAAGGAAAATCTCTGGCATCTCCAAAAGAGGCTCACCGGAGAGTTCACAGGAGACACTGAGAAAAGGGATCTGTACCCCTCAACTTCTGTAGTGGGCCCCCAGAACTGCCATTGCATCAAGACTGCCCATGGGGAACAGACATAGTTCCCCCAAAGGAAATTAGGACGCTGTCAGGAAGAGAAAGGATCTTGGACAATGCTCCAAAATGCCAATTATCTACCACATATATTGGGTTGTTGAAAAAGTCATGACATATTTTTCTATGTTTTTTGTTGCAAAAATGCATCATGACTTTTCTGACAACCTAATGGAACCAGGAGCCAGATAATTTCCCACAAGATCAGGCTATATCTAACAAGATAACAACAAACAAACGTAAGAGTCCTACATTGAGGGTGAAGAAACCAACTGCACACAAGGAGATGGGGAAGACCTAGTAGATAAAAAATGGGCAATAAGGCCGGCCATGTGGCTCAGTTGGTTAAGAGCACGAGCTCTGAGCAACAGGGTGGCCGGTTCGATTCCCACATGGGCCAGCGAGCTGTGCCCAAGCTGAGCTGCTGCTGGATGGCTCAGCTGGAGAGAGCACGTGCTCCTAACAACAAGGTTTCCAGTTTGACTCCCGCTTGGGATGGTGGACTATGCCCACCCGCAACTAAGATTGAACAGAAACCTTGAGCTGAGTGGCCACGAGCTGCCAATGGGTGGCCGGATGACGACTCGACTTGGAGCTGAGCTGGCTGCGCCCTCCACAACTAAGATTGAAGGACAACAACTTGGCTGTTCCCTTTCCCCAATTCCCCAACACTGTTCCCCTTCCCCAATAAAATCTTTAGGGGAAAGAAAAACAAAAAAAACATATATATATATATATATATGGGCAACAAGGTGCAGCCGATTAGCTCAGTTGGTTAGAGCTCAGCGTCATAACACCCAGGTTGCCAGTTCGATCCCCACATGGGCCCCTGAGTTGCACCCTCCACAACTCTGAATGAAACAACTACTCGACTTGGAGCTGATGGGTCCTGGAAAAACACACTGTTCTGGGCCGGCCGAGTGGCGTGTTGGTTAGTAGTTGGCTTGGGACACCAGCTCTGAGCAGCACGGCTTTGGTTTGGATCCCACATGAGGGCCAGTGACGCTGCGCCCTCTACAGCTAAGATGATGAACAACAGCTCCACCTGGAGGTGGGCTGCCATGAGTCGCTGGCTACAGTATAGGCTGCAGTGGGGCTGGCCGGTAACTGGCTTGCGCTTTTTTTTCTTTTTTTAAGATTTTTTTTTAATTGGGGAATTGGGGGACGGGAACAGCGTTGGGGAATCAGGGAAAGGGAACAGACAAGTTGCTGTCCCTTTGTTCTTCAGTCTAGTTGTGGAGAATGTTGCGTCACTGGCCCATGTTGGTATTATCATTGCGCTCTTCCTGGGTGAGGCAGTCGCTTGCTGGCCATTGGATGGGCTGCTCACGGCGGCTCCTGGCAGCCCAGTCAGGCTGCCGGCCACTCATGCTGGCTGCCAGCTATTCACGGTAGCTCATGGCAGCCCACTGCAGCAGGGACTGCAGCCTACGCTGTTGCCGAAGCGAACACCATACCTTATAAGCGAAGGTATGGTGTTAACAGTGGGTACATTTCGGGGGGGTGGGCAGAGTTGAAGAGGCCAAGGGTAAGACGGTTAACATGTTCTTTGAACATTTCTGTGTTGCTTGAATTGGGACAATCAGCATATATTATTTTTATAATTCAAATGATTTAAATTTAAGTAAATAAACAACAATCTACCCTGAATACTTCTCCATGCCATTAAAGATTCTACATCGTATTTAATGACCACATGTATTTCTAGTGTGGATTTCTCTTAATGTATTGAACCTGATGATGGACATTGAGTACGGCAAGAGTTGTCCAAAGAAGGACCGGGAGCACTTCGACAGTGTCTATCAGATCTGAAAATGTCCAGACCCATAGAACTAACCATGCCTCAGGTAGGAAATTATCTGATAGGTACACTAGTACATGCGCACGAAGATGTCTATTTAAGAACTGGTCCCTCGCTCATTATTCTTGCTAGCAAAAGGCTAGAAACAACCTCCATTTCCAACCTCAGGAACCAGATAGATAAAAATTACAGGCTGACCATATATATGCTGCCATTCTCAACAGCCGATACAAGAAATGAGATGGATCTTTAGAAATCTACATGGAAAATGTGCTAGAATATATTGCAAAGTGAAAGGGGAAAAGGCAAGTTACAGAACAATTATGTACAGTATCTCATTTGTATTTAAAATGTGTATGTGACTGCATTGAAAAAGACCTGAAGGATACACAACGAGGTATAGGTAGGATTTATCTATAGGTATGTATGTATCCCTATAAGGATATAAGTATAGAGATATAAAGGAAGTGAGCTGTCTGTCCCCTGAGGTATGCAAACAGAGATTGACTGCCTCCTTTTGAGGGATGCTGTGGAAGGGATTTCCACATCCCTCGGAGGTGACCTCGGTTCCCTCTTAGCCCTGAGAATCTCGGGGAATGGGGAGGTCAGAACTGGGAGAAGAATCCACCCCTAAGGGGAAAGGGTTAAGTTAGAATGGCGCTCCTGTGGGCGGGCTCGGCGATCGGCAGCGCCAGGCTCGGTTAGCCAAGTCTGAGCATCTCAGAGGATGCGGCGCGGCGAGCTGCTGCTGGGACGCGCGCAAGGTGAACGCGGGGGCTGCCCGCGCGGCGCCCAGGTGAGGAGCTGGCTGAGGGAGTGGGCGATGGTGGGGCCCAGGCTGGGAACATAGTCTGCAGCCCCCACCTAGGCGCCAGCGGCAGGGCCTGCACCAGCGCCCACCCCCACCCAGGACACTGCGGGAAGGCGAGGAGCCAGGGGAGAGGAGACGGAGGAGGAGGAGAGGTAACCCGAGATGGATCAGCTCCTGAAGGCTGCCCTCGGCTCTGCCTTCGGGCTGGCCTCTCCTCAGTCCCTGCGGCAGGGCGATAGACCCGCTGTCTCACCCCCAAAAAAATCTCTCCCGCAGCTGGAACCCAGTGTTAGGCAGTCCCCCACCCCCACCTTGTCCGCAGATGCCTACATCACTTCGATTGGGGTGGTGAGCAGATGGTATATGCTTATCATTGAAGGCCCAACTCAACTGTCTCCTCCTCTGCAAAGCTTTTTAGACCCCTGTGCAAAATGAGCCACTGCAGGTTTCACAGGCTCTAGTATGGCCATTTGCTGGCTGTGTGACCTTGGGTGAGTTGCTCAACCTCTCTGAACCTCGGTTTCTTTCTCTATGAAATGGGTATATTCACACCTGCTTGTGTTAGGAGGGTTGGATGAGATCCGAGGACATGCAGCTAAGCTTAGCACAGGAGCCTAACTGGGTGAGAGCTCAACACAGAAGTTCTGTTATTAACCAGTACCTGTGTTAGGAGCCTTTCAGTCCATTCCCTTCAGCTCACCCCCCCACTCCCAACACTAGAACTGAGGCTTCTCTTTGGGTGCCCAGCACCTAGCCTGGGCCAGGAGGAGCACAGCATAGGACTTGGTGTATGTCTGAGAAATGAACCAGCAAGGCTTTAAGGCAGAAGCTAAACTCATTTTGGGGGATGGGTTTAAGTGATCTTTGAAGCCCCTGAAATTGTCCACAACCTTTGGTGAACTTGGGCATTTTCCAGGGTAGAGTACCTGGAGTTTCCATTAGCTTCTCAAGGAGTCTGTGGGCCACTACAGGTTAGGAGCCAGGGTGCTTTGGGCACCGCTGCTTCCCAGGGAGGAAAGGAGCGGGGCCTCTCTGCTCCTAAATACACCCAGGCCTCTGCTCTCACAGCCGCTGTCCTCTGTCTCCTAGCCATGGGGTCCTGCCCTTCCTGCCTTCCTGGCTGAGAGGTAGGGACTCTCGGGAAGAGGAACCTTTAGGGAATATCCAACTGGGGCCAGTCTTATGCTGAGGGGCTAATGATAAGACATGGAAGATGCAGACACCGCCCTGAGAAGCCCCAGGCCAGTGGGGGAGACGGGAGATTATTACACTATGTGACCAGGGTGACCAGAAGGATGGAGGGGGTGTCACGGAAAGAAATGCCTACACTGAAACAAGCCACCGTCATATCTTACCTGGATTTTTGCTCTGGTCTCGCTCCCCCTTTTAAAACACCTATCAGATCGTGTCATCCCATTTCCATTGGCTTCCTGTGACACTTAGAATAAAATCCAGGTGCCTTACTGTGGCTTACCAGGCCCCTTATGATCTAGCCCCTCCTACCTGATTTCTTCTCCCTTTGCCACTTTCTCCTTCATTTGCTGAGCTCCAGCCACACTAGTCTTCTTATTTCTTGAACTCACCTAGCTCATTCTCGCATCGTGGCCTTTGCATTTTCTGTTCCTTCTGCCAAATGCTTTCCCCCCATATCTTCAAATGGCTGGCTCCGTCTTCTCATTCAGCATTTAGCTTAAATGTCACCTCAGAGAGGGCTTCCTGTCACCCCCTGTGTAAAGTAGCCCCCATCCCTCTATCTCTTAACCCTGTTTTCTTTTCTCTATAGCTCACTTTATTTAACATCATTCATTGTCTGTCCCTTATCTAGAACCCGAGCTCCAAGAGAGCAGGAATCTTGCTAATCCTGTTCACTGCTTTATCCCCAAGGCTTGGCACATAATATATGCTCTAATTATTCGTTGAAATAGTTAAGGGGGCTGGTGGGAAAGCAAGCTTTCTGGACAAAGAGAAAAGTAAAAGGGCTCTCATGCTTATTAAGCTCCTGTCATAGGCCTGACCCATTATGTGTTTTGTTATGTAAGTCTTATAAGAGCCCCTTGGAGTTAGGTACCCTTATTATGCCCATTTTACTGATGGGAAAACCCTGATGCAGAGAGGTAAAGTAACTCACTTAGGACCTGGCAAAGCTGGGATTCAAACTTAGGCCCTTCCTCAAAGGCGGGGGCCTGTTCCTCTCCCTCTCCGCTTCTCTGATATTTGAGCTGGACCTTCAAGAATAGGATTTCAGCAAGTGAAGGAGAAGGGAGAGGGCATTCCAGGCAGAGGGAATGGCGGGAGCAAAGGCATGGGATGTCGGACAGTCCAGTGGGTGCTGACGGATAGGTGAACAGCCTGGTGTGGCCTTGAAAGGCCAGGAGAGGAACTTAATTCTCTCCTGAGGGAAACTGAAGGTTTTGAAGCAGGGCAAGTGGCATGACCAGAGATGCAGTTTTATAAGGTCACTGTGGACAGCACGAAGAGGTTGACCAGGAAAGGATGGGGGGGGGGGCGGGGGGACCTGCCTCATGTTGCTCTTCTTTCTTTCCTATCAGCTCCTTTGGGGAAGCTATGGAAGCCCCCAACCCTCACATGTCATCCCCTCTCTCTTCTTCTAGGCTCATCCAGTGAGGGCTGGAAGTTGAAGGCTCTAGGCCCAGGCATCAGAGTGGACCATGGCCCCCAGCCCATGGGGCCGTGTATGTGGCCTCTTGCTGCTGTTGCTGCTGCTGTCCCTGGGGACTGGCCCTGCTCTGGGCCAGGGCCGTTCCAGGCCACATGAGGACTTGGAACCACACCTGTTCCCAGGAGCCCATCCCAAGGGTCCTGTTGATACAGAGCCCCAAGCTTTCGACTTCTTCTGGGAGACGCCCAGAGATGAGAGCCCCTGGAACTCCAATGTCCCCCACATCCCTGCTGAGAAAGTGCCTGAGCAGTTCGCAGACTCTCCCCTTGGCCCAGCCCTGCATGGACCTAAAGCAGCCCAGGGGGCTCAGAGAGATGGACTCCCAGTAACTGATGACCTCCAGATGGCTCAAGGACCAATTTCTCAAGGCTGGACAGGACCTCCTGAGTTGCCGGAGCCCCTGGAGCAAGAAGCACCAGTGCCCCTTCCAGTGGGCCCCCCCAATCTCTCTTTGATCCCCACAACTCCCAGACTCCAACTCAGGGTAGCCACAGTTCCTCCCTCCCGAGGGGAACCTAGAGACCAAGTGGGACAACGACAACTTAGAGATGAGGGTTTGGGGGCCCAAGCCAGGAACACGGTCTCAGAGACATCCCCCTCAGCTCACCAGGGTCCTCCCCACACTGTTGTGCCCCACTTAGGCACTGTCAGGATGCCAGTGCTAGAACAGGGTGGGGGTGAGGACTTCCAGGAGGCAGCTCAAGGCCCACTTTTCACGCAGCAAGATCCAGCAATCCCTGAGGCTGGCGTGGTATCCCCAGTTGAGGTGGCATCCACTCAGGAGCCTGGGTCCCAGCCAGATCTGGCATTGGCCAGAAGCCTTCCTCCAGCCGAGGAACTGCCAATTGAGCCCCCCAAGAAGGCTAGAGGTGGGGAGACATGGGCAGTCAGTTTTCCAAGTCCCTCACCTAAACAGGTTGATGTCCCTGGTGTTCAGGGATCACCAGGACCCCAGCCCTCAAGTCCCCCAGCCTCGGAGACTTCTGATGGGCAGCCCAAGCCAGGTGGGTACCAAAGCGAGGGTACCGAACAGAGCTGGGAGGGGCAGTGTTCCATAGCAGCTGGATGCCCCGGTTTCTGTGTGCCCCCCCTGGTCCCTGTGGGTCCCATTTTCCTCATTCTGGCAAATGAGGGTGATTGTGCCTCCATCCTAAGGGATTAGACTTTGGGAACCATTGGAGGTTCAGGCAAAGTGATGACTGCTTTTGTCATTTCAGAGATAGCAGCAATGAATGGAACAGATCCCATCTCTCCCCAGCGGGTGAGAGGAGCAGTGGAGGCCCCACGTACCCCCAAGTCCCTCATCCCTGTCCCCTTGGATCCTGGCCCAGCTACAAACGGAACAGAGAGCCCTGTGGGGCCCCTGCAGCCAGGTGAGGGCATGGCATGGGGTTTGGGGAGAGCTGGTACTCTGTCTAATAATTAAGAACCTGTGTGAGGTCTCTGTGGGGGTGGGGGGTAATGAATGGGGACAAACACCTCCTTAAAGGAATTGGTTAGGACCTCCTTCAAATAACTCGGGATAATTAACTAATACTGGGTATTCTGGGAGAAGTCATTTGCCCTTTGTAGCTAGAATGTTCCTAAATGTAACGTGGGTATATTTAGTGCAGTGATTCTCTAACTCCAGCAAATCACCCACAGGAAGAGCTTTTTAAAAATTTAAGTGCTAGGCCCCACCCCAGGGAATTCTGATTCACCTGTTTTCCAGGTGATTCTAATATGCAGCCCATGCTGTGAATTACTGGTATATTATTAATAAAAATGATAGCTCACATCCATTTAACACTTACTTGGTGCTGGGCACTATGCTACACATTCAGTCCTCACTACAACCCTGTGAGATAAGTGCTACTACCATCCCCATTTTACAGATGTGCTTGGAAAAAATGTGCTTGCTCACCACACTAGGGAATAACGGAAACTCAAAAGCACGTTCAAAGGGCTATTTTAATATTGTTATTACAGATGAAGCCGAGGAGTGGCCCGGGCGCCCCCAGAGTCATCCCCCAGCACCCCCAGTCCAGGCCCCCTCGACGTCACGCCGGGGCCTCATTCGGGTCACCACGCAGCGTGCCCTGGGCCAGCCACTCCCTCCGGAGCCCTCAGCCAGCTCCACGGCATCAGCCCCAGCCTCCAGCCCCCCTGCCAACGCCACCGCACCCCCCCTACGCTGGGGTCCCCTGCGGCGGGTACTGAGCTTTTCCTGGGAGCTGCACGTCTATGGGGTGGGGGTGCTCTTTCTGCTGCCTGCATTGCTGGCACTGGCCTCTCTGGCAGCCGCCCCTGCGGGGCCCCGGCTGGCTCTGGTGGCAGCGGTGCTGGTGTTCATAGCATCGGGGCTGCGATCTGCCTACATGCTCACGGACCCATACGGTTCGCAGGAGCGGCTGGGTTTACGCGCGGGCCTGGTACTCTACAACCTGCCCTTTCCCTTGCTGCTCACTGCGCTGGCGGCCCTGACCCTGCTCGGCCTGGGTGCGGGGCTGCCACAGCAGCTGCAGAACCCACTTCTGCTGGGAGCAGTGGCCTTGGCGCATGGCGTGGGGTTACTCGCTACTGACCTGCTGTCTGCGAGGCCGGCGTTCAACCTCCTGGCTCAGGGCTTCTCTTGCGCCTGGGGTGCGGTCGTGGCTCTGGGTACGCTCTGCCTGTGCCGTCGCCGCCTGCTGGACGGGCCGCGAGGCTGGGATGCCAGCCCGGGCCCGCGGCTGCTGGCAGTGGCAGGCGCTCTGGGGCTGCTTGCCAGCGGCTTACAGCTGGCTGCTGCCCTCTGGCTGTATCCGGGCCCAGGCCGCGTGGGCCGCTTCTCCTGGGCTTGGTGGGGAGTCCACTTCTGGCTGCGCCTTCTGGAGCTGACATGGGCGCTCGCCCTGGCACTGGCCGCTGTGGCTGCGGCGCGGCCCAGGCCGCCCACAGAGCATGCCTGCTGGGCTAAGCTGCTGCGCCTGGCATGCCCTGCGCCGTCCGGCAAGAGCGAGGTGCCTGAGCGACCCAACAATTGCTATGCTGGGCCCAGTGGCGTCGGCGTAGGCAGCTTGGACATAAGCAAGAGCCTCATCCGCAACCCCGCGGAGGGAGGCCTGACTGCCACTCCCAGTTCAGGCCCCTGGGGCTCGGCTGCATCGCTGGGCCGCGGTCCCCAGGGTGGCCCAGGACTGTCCGGCAGCAGCGTGGGGCCAGCGCCGTCGATGAGCGAGCTGGACCTGCGGCCGCCGTCTCCCATTAACCTGAGCCGCAGCATCGACGCCGCGCTCTTCCGAGAGCACTTGGTGCGAGACAGTGTGTTCCGGCGCTGCGGCCTGCGCGGCCTGGCCTCCCCACCGACTGGGGGCGCGCTGCGTCCGCGCCGTGGCAGCCACCCCGACGCCGAATTCGACGGTGCCGGCTCTTCGCTCCTCCGTGGCCGCTGCCGGTCGCTCAGCGATGTGCGCGTACACGGGCCGATTCCACCACACATAGTGGATGCGCCTGACCAGGCGGCTTCTGGCAGCTCGATGGACAGCTTCTCCCGGGGATCCCTCAAGATCAGCTGGAACCCGTGGCGCCACGGGCTGTCGTCAGTGGACAGTCTGCCCCTAGATGAGCTGCCCAGCACTGTGCAGCTACTGCCTGCCACAGCCCCTGCTCCCGCCCGGCCCGGGGAACCCCCGAGTGAGGTCCAGCCTCACTGCAAGCCTGGTGACTCCCGCAGCGCCTCCAGTGACACCATTGAGCTCTGAGCAGGCTCCACACTGCTGCAGGACCAAGGTCCCGCGCTCGGTGGCCCTATGGCATGGCCGACTGGGACAGTTGAGTATTTGAAAAACTGCCATTCCCGGACCTCAACTTGACTGCAGCCTCCAGAGACAGCCGGGAGTGAAGCCACCCCTCCCCGTTTTTTTGTTTTTTAAATATCTCTATTTTTTTCCAATGGGTATTTTGCACAGAGGCTATGACTTAAGCTGAATACAGGGTGGATATGCATGGATTTAAGTATGGGGAATGGGGTCCAGGTGCCCCAAACACCCCTCCAGACTCCACAGTGTGGAGGGATGAGGCTAGCTTGTCCAGATTGACTGTCCTCTTTGTGCCAAAGAAATAAACCCTTAGGACTTGGCTTATGCCTCCCTCTGGCCACACCAGGATCCTGTTCAGAGGAGATGTAGGAGTGCCCCCCCACCAAAAAAAAAAAATCCAAGTCTTGTGTGTGTTGGGGACGGGAGTACTTTCAAAGGAAAGGGGACCGGACCTTTAGCAGCTTTAGAAATAATGGCTACCAATATTTTATTGAACATCTGTTTTTGTGCAGTCTTCTGCTCTTCACATTCATCACATTTAATTCTCATAATACGCCTGAGAGGAAAACATTATCATGCCCATTTTATAGATGAGAAGAATTGAAGTTCAGAGACAAAAGTAATTTGTCCAGGGTCTTTGGCCCAAATGATAGCTGGTACTGAACCCAGAAAGTTCCACTCCGAAGGCTGGTTCCTCCATCCCCCTTCTAACACTACTTCAGGGCCAAGCCTCCTCTCCTTCATCAGGGTAGCCCTCAATTTCCTGGGGTTTTAGGAAACTTCCCCAAGGATCAAGGCAGTGGGGACTCTCAGTAGCTTAGGCCAACCCACGGTGAGTGGGGGGCAGGTAGTAGTAAATCTGAAGCTTCTCCATTTTTCAAGACCTTTTTTTATTTCCTGAGATGAATAAATAAATCAGTGGCTAAAGGGGTGGGGGCTGAATACGGAACAGGTGCTGGCAGCATGCAGCTGGCAAGAGGAAGCTGTGATGGGCTCACCCCTGCAGGTACCCCCCTCATCCTGAGTAGGGGCCAAAGCTCACTAGCAGCCACCATAAGGAGACACTTTTCTTTTAAAATCCACACACATTGTGAAGCTTGCCCACGCCCCCCAAGGCCAAGATCTCATGGTGTCCACCTTTAGGGCTACTGTCTCACCCCAGGGACCTCACCTGCCCAGGTGCCTGGGCTGCTTCACAGGTGGGTAGGGGTTGCTTACCCACTCTCAAAAATAAAGCAAGCTACCTTGAGTGTTCAGGTAGGGAAGGCCTGACCTCTGGGGGCAGCCTGGGTAGGAGATCCTGCAGGTGTGGCAGAGATTATCTGCCCTTGATGAACCCTTCCAGCACACGGTCACTGCGCTCTGACAACCAGTAGCCAGTCATGGCCGCCACAGCCCCAATGAAGATGGCGGTGAAAACCAAGTCACCCTTGGCGGCCAGCGTGGCCAGTGCACAGATAATGACACCAAAGAACATCTGCTGCAGCACCACCACCTCGTCCTCTGTCATCTCCGAGAAGAAGCCTGCTGACTCTGCGAGGAGCAAAAGAAGCACCTGTCACTCCTTCCCCATTCCTGAAGTTTCTCACACACCCCATCATCGTTGCCACATGCCTGCCCAGTATGCCAGCACATGACGTCATTGACTGCTGAGAACAACTCTGAGAGGGGTGGTTATTATCCCTGTCTCACTAAATTGGAAACTGAGGCTCAGAGGTTTGCCCGAGGCCATGCAGTGGGTGAGCTGTGACAGAGCGAGTGTTATGAGTACTACATCAGCTCCAGAGCCAGACTGCCTGGATTCAACTCCCAGCTCTGCAACCTTGCCATGTGGCCCTGGGCAAGCTGCTTCAAGTCTCTGCATCCTAGTTTCCACTATGTAAAATGGGGATGAGAAAGACACCCAACAGCATTGGATTTGTTTTATGGGTAAAATAAGTTAATACATGCAACATACTTCAAATAGCATTTGACACAGTAAGAGCTGCAAGAGTGGTCACTATTGTCATCATTGTGATTGTCCTTCATCTCACCACTCTGCAGCCTACAACATCTCTTGACAGGCCAGGGCTAGGATTGGTCCCATTGGACAGATGAGGAAAAGAGGCTCAGGAAGGCAGTGATTTGATGCCAAGTCTTATTTTCTTTCTACCCTGGAGAGGTGTGAGGCCACCAAAAGCCACCTGAAGACCAGATATAAGTTTCAGGTCTCAATGTATCTTGATGGGGGCTGGGTCGGAGGGGAGGGCAGGGCCTGTAACTGCCTGGAGAAGGGGTTTGCTGGCCCTCTGCCTAGATGAGGATACCTCCCCAGGTTTCTGGGGGCCCAGTTGGGGCTCACCTGGGATCTGCTCCTTCACACAGATGCCCTCAATCTGTTTGTAGCCCTCTGCACAGACACAGCGGTAACTGCCCTCTGTGTTCTCGCACTGCTCATTCTCTCCTGGGCACACCTTTGTCTCACACTCGTCCACATCTTAAGGAAAGGCAAGGAGGGGTCAGAGCCCTGACTGCCAGGGTCCCACATGCAGCACCCCTGACTCCGTCTTGCGCGACACTCCCTTCTGCCCTTGCCCAAGTAACATTCCACCCTTCCTTCCCCTGCCCGTATTCCAGCCCCTCTCAATCGGTGGTGGCGAGGCACTCCAAGGTGCCTGTGCCCCATTGGCAGGAGACTCACCAAGACACTTGGAGCCCACCTGCTGGTAGCCAGGGCTACACTTCTTACAGCGGCCCGGCCCTGCCCCCATGCAGCCCAGACAAGCCTTGGCACAGTCTGGAGAAAGAAGGAGAGAGATGAGGGTAAGAGCTGCCCCTAGGCCTAGGGGGCTTCTGGTGCCTAAGAAGGCAGAAGTTTGGGGGGAACTGGCATGAAGCAGCTCCTTCTACCCTCCCCACATTCCCTCCCCCATCGGAATGGACACTCACCTCGGCACTCATAGGAGCCCTCGGTGTTCACGCAGAATTGGTCAGCTCCACAGTTGGCTCGCTCTGTGCCACATTCATCGATATCTGCAGAGAGGCGGGCAGGGTAGGGATTTCAATCCCTAGTTCAGTGACAGGAAAGCCGAGGCCAGGGTTGTTGGGGAATGGATTTCTCAGGCTCAAATGATGTGGCAGAGACTGCAGGCTGTCCACCAACACAGAAGTAGAGGTGTAGCTGGACTCCAGGCTACCGAGGTAGAGACTATGTTTTCCAACCTGCCTTGCAGCTCAGTATGGCCCTGTGGTTGAGTTCTGGTCAACAGGCTATAAACAGAAGTGATGTGCTCCACTTTTAGCTTGGCCTTCAAACAACAGGCTTGGACTTCACGCACTTTCTTCCCTTTCTTACTCCTAAGTGTCAGGTCATGGAACACAGAGGTACCCATGACCCAGCCTCAACCACAAAGATAACACCCAGTGGGATGACTGCATAGTAAGAAAGAAGGAATCTGGGTCCTTGAATGATTGTGACAAGCAGAGCTTCCCTGCCAGCCTGGACCACTTCCTTTGAAACTGTGATGTGAGATAAAAATAAACCTCTATATTCTCTAAGCCACAATCTTTGGGGAACTTTTTCTTATAGCAGCTTAGCCTTTATTCTCATCTATATAAACGGCTAGGTTTAAGACCAAACCAAGTCTCATACCCAGGTTTCCTGACCCAAGTTCAGTATCCTCATTCCTCTGTCTAACCATTCCTCAATTTTTCAGACTTGGCCTACGTGACACCTCCTCTAAGAAGCCTTTCCTGATTCCCCATCACCACTGAGCTGGACCAAGGACATCTCTCACTGTACAAGGGTCAGTATGTACTGTAAGTGCCTGGTTCCTTTTCTGCCTTGCCAACCAGGCTGAGATCTCCATGAAGATGGGGAATGCTGGTCTCGCCCAGAGATGTGGTTACTGATGGGGAACCAAGCCCAGGCCCCTGCCCGCCTCCCCACTCACCTACACACTTGAGGTGATGCAGGGCCCAGCCCTTCTTGCACTGTAAACAGTTTGATTCCTCAGGTCCTGAGCAGCGGGCACAGGGACCAAAACAAGCTGGGTAGAATGGGGGAAGTATGAGGATGGGCAGGAGGCACCCCATCTGCCCCTGCCCAGTGCCACACCTTTTGGCTACCTACCCGAACATACCAGATGGCTGGCGTTGCGCTCCGCCTCAAAGTAGCCGAGGCCGCACTGGCCACAAGCCTCACCCCCATAGCCGGCTTGGCAGTCACAGTGCCCGCTGCCCCCTCGCGTCCCTTCCCCTTCACACCGCCCGTATCCACCGCAAGGTTTCTCTGCACCCCCAGGACAGGCTGTAGGCAGACACCAAACAGGGTGAGATTGTAAATACAGCCTTATATATAAAAAATATTAACATGTTTGGAGAGAAAGCTTAATTTTAATGGCAACATAATATTTTATCATAAAGCTTATGAAATTTGCTTGACCAAAGACTGAGTTGACCATCTTTGTTACTAACTCTTTATCTGCAGCTTCCAGAGAGATTTTTCTAAAAGGGGCTGGTAGTAAGTTCAAATCTTGACTGAGGATTCTGTGTAGAGAAAGGTGGTGACAATGGGGCTTTAGGGCAGCACATACTCACCCCTAGGAAGGTCCCCTTAGTCCAGGGAATGGGGGCCTGGTCTGATCCAGGCATGGGAAACGAGGGGTTGGGGGTGCGGGCATTTCTCAAATACATGCTAAAAACCACAGCTGCATCTGACTCCATCTAGCCCCATATCTTTTTTCAGAACCGTTCCCCATGGATTTGTTTATCTCACCAGCCCTGTGAAGCAGGTGAAAACAGGTCCAGAGAAGTTATCTGAGCAGCCTAAGCTCACACAGCTAGGGGCACAGCCAGGACTGGGCCCCTGGCCTCAGCAGTCCCCTCCCATTCCCCAAGAGGAACTTGAATAACTCACGAAGGCAGGAGGGCCCAAAGGTGCCTGAGGGGCAGCAGAGCTTCAGGGAATCTGAGCAGAGCCACTGGAAGAGATCTGGGGCTTCCTGCTGCCTGAGGTGGGGAGATGGTATGACAGTGAGGGGGCCTGAGACAGTGTCAGAGGTGCTGCCCACCCCCAACCTCCCACAGAATCTGTGATACAACCCATCTTGGGCATAAGACCTGTAAGGCCACCTGACCAATGCCCTTTCCCCCGTTTGGCAGAGGGGTAAACAAGCTCACAGTAGAGCTTATCCACCAGCAAGTCCTTGGCAGATCTGGGTTTGGAAAAAGTAGCCAGGCCCTGCCCGTGCCCCCTTTCTCTCCCCCACCCCCCGCCCCAGGGAAGGCACCCACACCACTCACTTGTGAAACCACCAGCTCTCCACTAGCTCCTCACTCAGCTCCAGCAGGCGGTGGCATTCAAAGTCTGACTTGCTGCACACGCTCTCAAGCACCTCTACCAGGCGGGTCTCACTGGCCAGACAAGGCAGGGGTGGTGGGAGCGTGCTCCATTCCACCCACCACCCTCCTTAAGGTCTCCTCTCCCACCACTCCTCATGCCATGACAGTGTCAAAGGAAACGCAATGGGGCATAGTGGAAGGGGTGATGGTTTTGGGAGTCAGACAGACCTGGGTTCGAATCTAGTTGTGTGACTGGCAAGTCACTTAACCTCTCTTGAACCTCTGTTTTCTCGTCTGTAAAATGGGGATAATACCTGCCCTGCAGGTTTGTTTTACGATAACTCAGTTCTTACATCTGCACAATGGAATATATACCCTTGCTGAGTAGATGTCATTAAAAATACGTCATATAACAAGTGTTGGTGAGGATGTGGAGAAATTGAAACCTTCCTATATTGCAAGTGGGAATGAAAAATGGTGCAGCCACTGTGGGAAACAGTTTGGCAGTTCCTCAATAAGTTAAACATGGAGTCACCATATGACTCAGTAATTGCACTCCTGGGTTTATACCCAAAAGAATGGAAAACAGGTGTTCAAACAAAAACTTGTAACACAAATGTTCATAGCAATACTATACACAATAGCCAAAAGGTAGAAACAACCCAAATGTCCATTGACTGATTAATGGATAAACAAACTGTAGTCTATCCATACAACAGATTATTAAGACTTAAAAAAGAATGAAGTACTGATACATACTACAATGTGGATGAACCTTGAAAACATTATGCTAAGTGAAAGAAGCCAGACATAAAAGGCTACATATTGTAGGATTCCAATAGAATTAGCAAATCCATAGAGATAGAAAGCAGATTAGTGGTTTCCAAGAGTTGGGGGAAGGGAAAAATGAGGAGTGACTGCTTAATGGAGATGGAGTTTCTGTTTGGATGAAAATGTTCTGGAACTAGATAGTGGCAATGGTTGCACAACACTGTGAATGTACAAAATGTCTATAATGCTAAATTTTATGTTTTGTGTATTCTACCTCAATAAAAAAAATTAAATATATATTGGGTTGTCGGAAAAGTCATGATGCATTTTTGCAACGAAAAACATAGAAAAAGTACATCATGACTTTTCCGACAACCCAATATATACACGCACATATATAACGTATTATATTATGTACTTAAAGGGTTTGACACAGTGCCTGGCATATAGGAGGAGGTAATTAAAAATACAAAACAAACCAGGAGCCATTACAGAGCTGGAAGTGCGCTTAGGCCAATCCCCTCATTTCCAAATAAGGAAACTGAGGCCCACTGAGGGAAAGGAAAATGACCAATGTTACATAATAAAATCTTTTATTTCTAGTGGGCATCACAGTTTAATCCTCACCATAATCCTATGAAATAGGCAAAGCGGATATTACTATCTCTGCTTTACAGATGAAGACACTGAGGCTCAGAGAGGTTAAGAGACCTTTCCTAGGGTATCAAGGGTCAAAACTGACAACCAAGTCTAACTCCAAGTCTTTGCTGATTCCTTCTCCTCAATTTGACTTTGAAAAGCTGGAGGGCCTAGGGCTCAGGCCTTTCCTCTCAATATAATCTCATCTCCTCCCATGGCTTTATATACTGACTATATGCTGATGACTCCAAAATTCATGTTTTTGGCTCCTACTTCTCCCCAGACTTCAAACTCCTAAATCTAACTCAACTTGACTGTTGAATGGACATCTCAGCCCAACATGTTCAAAGAGAACATCCAATTCCACCCCTTCCCTAAATCTCTTTCCCCAGTTTTACCCATCTCAGCAAAGAGCCCCACAATTCACCCAGTGGCTCAGGCCCAAAACCTAGTAAGCATCTTTTATTCTTTTTCCCTCAATACCCCATAATGAATCCATCATCAAGTCTTATCAGTCCATCTGCAAAATATACCCAGAATTTGATCCCTTTTCACCATGTCCACCACTAGAAACCACACTAGCTCATGCTGCCTTCATGCCTAGATAATGCATTAGCTTCCCAGCTGGTCTCCCTGCTCCCTCCACTCTGCATACCTACAGTCTGTTGGCTACACAGCCATGTGGGTCATCTTTTAAAGACCACATCACTTCTCTGCTCAAAACCTTCCAGTGGCTTCCCTCTACACTCAGAATGAAATCTAAACTGCTTTCTGTGGCCTTTAAGGCTGGGCTTCTGCCTTCACCTTCTACCACTTTTTCTTCTGCTCCCTCCATTCCAGCCACTTCTCAAACATACCAAGCTTAGTCCCACTCTGTCCACATTCTCCCCTGGTTGTCACATAGCTTGCTTCTTCACTTCAGATCTCTGTTCAAACGTCACACCTTGAACACCATGGCTCCCACCTTTCTGTAGTCCACCCAGCATTACTGTTCTTCACCTGATGGGACATTATTCATTTCCCTATTTATCATGTCTCCTCTACAAGAATGTAAATAAGCTCCTTGAAGATGGGATTTTGCTTGCCTTGTTTACTGCTGTATCATAGGTGTTCAGTGATATTTGTTGAATGAGTAAGCACTCCCCAAGAGGATCTAGGCCCCTACCAGTAGAGCAGAGATGGGGAGGGGAGGTATTCAAATCCACCCATCCAGCCCCTTACCTGTCTTTGTATTTAGACAACTTCTCTTCTTCCCAGGCAGTGTTTCCACCTCCAAAGTTGTCCCGAATGGTTCTCTCCAGGCCCTGGAGATGGAGAAAATTAGTAATACCTAAGTATAGAAGTACAGAGTGCTTGGCATATTCTAGCACTTCAGTATTTCACTGATCAGGAAACTGAGGCACAGATAGGCAACCTGCCCAAAGCCATATAACTGGTAGGTAACCAGTTGTGACTTGCGTCCATACAGACTTGCATCCCAGACTCCCCACTCTCAATCACTTTGCTATAGTAGCTGGGCCCCTCCCAATAGGTTGCTGGTGCACCCACCTTGTTAAAGCTGTCTACCAATCCCCGGCACGTATGACACGGATGGGGCTCAGTTGGGGGAGAACTCTGGGGAAGCGGAGAGGGCTGGAGCCAAACTGGGCCTGGCAGGCTGAAGAAGAGGCTCAGGCCCCAGAGGAGAGCTGGGACCAGGTCCCTTGGGGGTTGAGGGGCCATCTTTTCCCAGGCTGGGGACCTGTAGATAGAGGGCATGGGGAAGGTTAGCTGGAGGAGCCAGGTGAGAAAGAAAAGGGTCGGTTCTAAGGTGCCATGGGTCTGGTAGCCCAGACCTGTGTTATTGTAAGAGAAGGAGGTTAGACTGGGCTATGGCCGGGAAAGGGGAGATGGTAGGGGAAAGAGCCTATTTTGCAATGCTAGGACGGGAATAAGTTATCCTCGTTACAGTTGGAGAGGAAGTCTGGATCCTTGGCAAGAGGACAGGAGTCGGCCCATTGTTTTAGGATCTGAATAGGGCATGTTGGGGACCGGATCAGCGGAGCTAGGGAGAATGGGTCAGATTCCAAGTACTGGAGGAGAAGGGGCCGATGGACGGCCTTGGGGGAGGAGCCCAGGTCCGGATATGAAGAGAAGGGGTCAGGTTCGGGGGCCGCAGGCAGCAAAGGCAAGGCCTATGAGTCAGCAAGGGAGGATCCAGACCGCGTAGATTCGGAGGGAGGAAGACACGACCCACCCAGCCCTCCGGCACTGACTGCTGAGTCTCCCCAGCACCGCTACCGCCGCCGCCGCCTCCTCCGCCGCCTGCGTTAAGACGTGCAACCTACGCCAGATCCGCAGTTCGGAGGGCGGAGTCCACGCCGCAGCCAATGGTGGCGGGCCATGTTCCATTGCGTCATCCCGTGCCAGCCAACCAGAGGCGGCGCCGGGCTGCACCTGTCGGGTGGTTAAAGGGTACATGGGCCGCGGGGCGGCGTGCCAGGCTAGCTGCTGGGTCAGAGATACACATTGTAGAGACGTGAATAGAAAAATAGCGTCTGCCTTTATTCAAGTCCTGTCTCCTGCCTCAAGTCCCACCTCGCGTCCAGTCTCTGGGGTCGCTGGGAGTCGTTGGCAGCTGTCCAGGACGGGCTGAAGGGCTCGGGACACTTGCTCTGCCCAGTCCGCGAGCCGCCCCAGACGAGGGATGCCGGGTCCCTGCAGGGCTCGCAGGAAGTCGGGCAGCTGGGAAGGCAAGGAGAGGACAGGAACGGCGCGGAACAGGGCGGGCACGGCGTCCGGGCGGAGCAGACTATCAAAGTAGGCCCCGACGTAGCGGCCGGGCGCCCGGCCCTGCAAGAAGTCAGGCAGCACGCAGTTGAGTGAGGCGGCGAAGGCGTCGTGCGGGCTCTGCGCCCCAGGCACCGACGCCCTGTCCTGCAGCCACTCGTGGCACAGCGCCACGGCTCCAGGCGAGAAGAGCAGGACCACCACTCCGCCCTCCTGCAGGGTCTGGCGCCGCTGCGCGTGAAACCAGGCCAGGGGCCCATGCGCGCTCAGTTCACGACGGCTCCACAGGTCCACGGCCACGCGCAAAGGCAGCTGGCACAGCGCCGACGCCAGGGCGCCCACCAGGCGCTCAAAGCCCTCGTCGTCGGCCGAGTAGAGGAGCAGAGCCGAGCGGCTCCTGGCGGCTGCTGCCAGAGAGAACAGCGGGAGGGTAGACGTGAGATGGCCGGAGGCCCAGCCCGCTGGGGGCGGCCCCCCCGCCCTGCCAGTGCTCACACTCACCCCCCGCGTGGACGTCCTCTTTCAAGAGCCTCAGCCACCCTGTTAGGGGAAAGAGGCGTTGGCGGCAGGTGAGTTCAGCCGCTACCTCCTCTCGGTGAACTCCCAAGCCCACGCCAGTCCTGCCCCTGGGGAATAGGGAGCCTAGAATTTCTCACCTTTCACATGGTCCTTTTTGAGAAGGAGGAGAAGGAAAAGCACAGCGGCAAAGAGTAGGCAGGCCAGCCACACCAGGGCCCAGCGTTGGTGGGTATCTGGGAAGCCCAAGGGAGGAGATGGGCTAGTTAGAGACCTTACACTTTCACCCCACTTCGCCAAGGAGAAAAACTGAAGCTCAGAGACATGAAATAACTTGGCAAAGTCCACAGCACGAAGTGTCAAAGCCAGTATATGACCATAGATCTATCTACTAATAAGTGACTTCACTTTCTGCCTCAGCTTTCACCTCTGTAAAACTGGAATAACAATAGAACCTACTGATGGGGTTGTTGTGAGAACTACATATATTAATACACATAAAGTCATAGTAAGTGCTCAAATGTCAGCAATATTATTGTCCCCTAAGGTCCTTGACTTCACTCGGATGACTGCGACAGCCTCCTAACTAGTGTCCCTCACCTCTTTTTGTGCCTCCAATTCATTCACCACATGGCAGCCCCAGAGATCTTTTAAAAATACAAATTTGATTATAGCCTTTTGGGAAGCTCCTGCTGCTTTTAATGTAAATTCCAAATTCCTTATGTTGACTCCCAAGACCCTACGTGGCCCTTGCATCCTCATCTCATGACAGAGGCCTGCCTCCCAAGACATTCCAGCCACACTGACCACCTTGGAGTTCCTCAAAAAAGCACCCCACAGACTTCACAAAACTGCGTCTCTACCCCTTTCGCTTAGATCAGCCTTCAGAGTTCAGTTTGAACCTTTCCTCTGAACTCCTCACCCCACCTAGATCAGGTCCCCATTATATGCATTCATGCATTCCATTTTACTTTATAGTGAGTGCTTCCACAGCTCACACTTACTAAATGTAAGTGATTTGAGGCTAATGTCCTTTTAGCCTTCTATGGCTGGGGTGGAGGCAGGGATTGTGTCTTGTTGGTGATGTTGGTGATGGATGCCCTGTAAGCTCTCATCATAATTTCTGAATAAATGAAGAAGTGACCCTCTGATTTATCTGAGCCAGGGAAGAACAAGGCCATTGCATGTGCTGCTCCCAAGAATGGTCCCTGTCAAGATTCTAACGCCTGGAGAGCTGGGAAGACGAAGGGCAGTTCTTGTAATACTCACATTTGTTCATGGGGCAGGCCCATAATGCTCCCAAGTCATCATCCCACAGCTGTAAGACAAAACAAAACCAAGTCCAAAGCCCTCAGCTTGGTGTTTGGCATTCGCCAACCTCTAGCCAGCCTGATCACCAAATTCACAGCCTCAATTATGCATATTTTGCCCCTCCCACACAGCAGATTCCCTCAAGCTGCTCTGCCTTTGCTTAGGCTGTGCCTACTATCCGGACTGTGCCTTCCTCCATGCCAGAGCTGGCCCACACGAAAATACCCTTCCTTGCAGCTCCCCCTGGAGATCAACACTTAGCACATGTGAATGTTATCTGTTTACTGGTTATTAGCAAGCAGTGAACAACTCAGGGACAGGAACTGTACTTCAACTTTTAGCTTTCCCAGAACTGGACACAAAATAAGCACAACTAGATGGTGGGTGGGTGCTAGAAGGACAGTGAAGAGGCCTCTGCCTAGGAAGAGTCCCCCTGGTACCCTCTGTTAAGCACAGGAAGAGGTGGAAGAGGCTGAAGATAAAATGTTAGGGCTATTGCCCTTGGGCATTGGGACAGGGCCCTCCTGCCACCTACTCACCTGTAGACACTGGCCTGACTCCAGGTCTTGTAGTAAGTGCTCTCCAAGGCGAGCTGCCCTCTGCCAAACCAAGGGGTAGGGGGCTGTCACCTAGGGGCATTGCACCTAGGAAGCCACCAGGCTGAAGCTGAGCAGGATGGGGGGTTGGGGACTGGGAGACTTCTGAGAGGCCACTGAGAACAGGGCTCAGGTCCAAATCACCCCCCACGTTCCCAGAGACCAGCACAGAGCCTGGCACAGAGGAGGGGAAAACTGAATAGGGGGAAAATCTAAGGCCAGGTTTGAGATGGAGCTGGAGAGGTACATGGAGGAGGGTCCCCCAGCACTCACTGTGGAGGCCCTGCTAAGTAGTGGGGTACAGCCACTGGGTTCCAAGGCACAGAGTGATCTGTTGTCCTGGGGGCCTCGTGTCTCCACCAGCAGCATATCATCCTTGAGGGGCCCCAGAGAGTCTGAAAGGGGTGAGAGCCTACTCTGAGACCCAACCTTGCTGGGGGCTGCCATGTGCACCCCCCATGCCTGACCTTTACCTCCAGGAGCTGGCAGTTTCAGTGTTACCCCTATTGCAATGGCCCTACCCCAGCCTCCTCCAGACCCTACTCACCAGACCACAAGCACTCTTGCAGCTGCATCTTCTCCCAGCTGCTCACCTGCTTGGAAGGGGCCAGGGTCAGGGGCACAAAGAAAAGCAAGAACCAAGGCCAGAAAGACCAGAAGAGAAAATATAGGCAAGCAGAGGCCTGTTGGGTTGGGGATCAGGGAGGTCTGCACTCTGGACCTGACCTTAGGCAGATCTGGGTTCCAGGCTGGGTGATTAGGAGTCACTCCATCTTTCTCAGCCTCAGCCTTGTGAGGTTATCTGTGCTAATGGTCCTTATGACCCTAAATTAGCTCCTTTCATGTCTGACAAAACACATACATTCCCTTCTCATCTAACCACCTTCTCAAAGAGGCCTCATCTGACCACCCCACTTGAAATTGTAACCCCAATCCTCCCTTGTCCTTCCCCATGTTTCCGCACAGTATCTGTATATAATTTTAGCATACTATAATAATTTACTTGTTATATTTTTTTCTACCTTTCTCCTTTAGAATATAAGCTCTATAAAGATGGATATATTTATTGGCTTTATTCACTGACATCTATCCCAAGTGCCTAAAGCAGTGCCTGGCACATAGTAGATGCTCAATAAATCTTGAAGGACTATGTTTATAATCACGCTTTGAAGTTGTAGAGCAACCCATTATACAGGTAGGGAAATAGAATAGTGATAGCACTAATAAAAGCAGCTAACATTTGTTGAGCATTTAGTCTGTGCCAGTCCCTGAGGTGAAGCACTTCTCTTATTTAATCTTCATAACCACTCTATGAAGTAGTTACTATTAATGTTCCCATTAAACAGATGAGATTGACCTTCAGAGAGGTGAAGTGATTTGCCCAGGGTCCCATACACTGCTAAAGTAAATAGTGGCACTCCTAAAGAGGAAGCCCATAACCACTTTGCTCCAGGGACCCAAGGATAAAGTGGGGTCCTTTCCAAGGGTGGGGGTAGGGATCCTGCCCCCAACACAGCTAACACAGGGCTCTGGCGTCCTCTTCTTACCTGGACACAGAGGTTAGGGTGGCCTTTCAGCAACGGGAACTCAAGGGGCTTCTGTGATAAGAGAGGAATGGGTGGGGCCATGAAAGGTGGTCCCCTGGGCTTGCCTTCCTCCCCTACCTGGGCGCTGCTCGCTGCCAGGCTTACATTCACAGTGACATTCTCTCGGGACAGAGGCGGGACCAGCGGCTGGCAGGGACCCCCACCTAGTGCCTGCCAGCACAATGTGGCCTCGGCAGGCAGCGAGCATGGTGCGTCCAGCCGCCAGCCCCGCGGGGGCAGCAGCTGCAGCCGGGCAGCACGCCAGAGGTTGCGGTGTGCACGGGGGTCTGCAGGGAGAAGGCTGAGTCAGTCACTGCGCACCCTGCACGTAACCACCTGTACCACCCCCACCCTGGCCCCTACAGGTCCGCTCACCCTTCCTAAAGGGACAGATGCTTGTCCTGACAGAGTCGGGCTCCAGAGGCCACACCTGGAAGGCAAACAGGGCACCACAGTTAGTTCAACCCAGCCAACCTTCCAGGAGCGTGTGCCAGCCCCTGTGCTAGGCACTGGGGATGCACTTAGGCCAATATTTCACAAACGCTCGGTCTTTTCGCCCTTTTCAAGGTGCTAGAGACGCACACATTTATTCTTTCAGCAAACACTATGCCACCATCTGGCAACATCTTCATT